AGATGTAGTCAACAACTATTATTTTATTATTTTTAACTCTAGCCCTTCCCCCCAATAAAAAGTTGCCTATACCTTTGTATATTTAGAGAAAGATATAGCTATAGCAATCATAAAATTATAGGACAGGAAGGGCCCTCGAGAGGTCATCTAGTCCAGTCCCCGGCCCGCATGGCAGGACTAAGTATTAATGTAGTGGATGTGTCAAGATCTAAGTATCTATAATCAAAATAGAAATATAGCCAGATATAGATATGATGTATTTCTATATTACAGATTTGTGTTTATATTACAATTATATATGTGGTGTTTATATCTATGTAATAAATTGCCAAGCCATATGATATACTATATTTATCAAGCACTTTTGCGCACTTTATCTGCACTCTTCCCTTCATCCAGCTCTGCCAGGACTACTTCTAACATCACAAATCTCTGAGCAGCTTTAAATAGCTGCCATCAAAACCAAAACCAAAATGTTGGTTTCTTTCTTTCTTTCAAATGAGGAATTTCCCCCCCTAAATCATACAAGACTGAGATGCAAAATAGATCAGAGATGAGCTAAAAGTCTGATACCTTCTAATTGAACAGAGTGCTAGCATTGGAAAGGGGAGATTGCTAGTCTCCAGAGGGACGCATCATTTGTTTGCATCTCTATTATAGGTAATTCTAAAGGTTTCTGGAGTTTATTAGTCAGATTTTTTTCTCTCTGAATCCTGCACTCATGGTATTAAGGTAACCTGGCTCTGAAGGGCCAGGGCTATGAAAAATAGTAATAGCATTGTATAAAACTCTCCAAAACATTCCTAAAAGAGTTCCCCCCACCCTGCAAAGTATGTACCACTACCCATACAGAATATATGATGGTGTGGTGCAATGGTAAGCTTTGATTGGCATTTGTTTGTGACAACCCATAAAAATCACGTGTGGCTTCACCATTTGTGAGCAACAAACCCAGCCCAAACTCATGACAATAAACCCTGTAACCCATACCACCATGTATTCTCTATCTAGATGGCTGTATGAGGCCAAATCCTGCTTTCATAATTCACAGTCCTCAGATTTAATTCAATGGGATACCTGCAAGCATGACCCTGCACCACTGAAGTTACTGGGAGCTTTACCAATTACTTTAATGGGAGCAGAATCAGGCGTTGTGTGAATAAAAAGAGCAGGATCTGATGATGTTTTTAACCTTAAATACAGATTCTGGGTGAAATCATGGCCCTGCTGATGTCAATGAGTTTTGAAGCATAATCTTGATTACAGGCCAGATATGTAAAGGAGCAGTGCATTTTAAATTATATTCTCCAAAAAATTATCTCTATAATACCCTGTCCGCACTAATATTTGTGCTAACAAATCTCTTCTTGATCTCACCTTTCCAGCATCTCTGCCACTTCTATAATAATATTGAGTGGCAGAAGGACACAAGGGAGGATGGGAGGATGACTTATTGTAATGAAGAGTTTCATTTCCATGGGATAACCAACTCTTACCAGGAACTTAAGAGACACATTTCAAAAGCCCTGATCCTGCAAAGAGTGGTGTGGCCTTGACGTCCAGTGAAGCCCTTGTACCCAATCCTGCACCATTTAAATAAATGGGAGTTTTGCCAGCGGCTTCATTGGTAGTAGGCACCGTGGGTCATTCATGTCAGTGGAAGCTAAAGGAGTTCAGAGCAGCACCCTCTCAGCATCAAGCCTCTCTACCCAAATAATCTAAGATAACTTCATTTTAAAAAATATCCATATTAAATATTGACATGAATGACAACAGCACTGGCAATGACGATTTATTTTCCCAAAAGATCCCTCCGTTTCCTTTGAGATCCAGGTTGTTAGTTCTCCCTGACTCTGTGAAATATCACTGAAACTTTGGCTCAGGACAACACTGGGGCTAAAGCCTAAGTTTCAAGCAACAGAGTGTGAAAGAGCACCAAGAGAATTCTGAGCTGGAGTTGAGTTGTGGGGGTTTGATTTTTTAATCAGATAGTGATCTCCGTCCATGTAATAGGTGTTGTTGACTGGATCAGGGATACTAGCTAGACTTCCTGTTTTATCTTTTTTAAATATCAGTGCTCAGCCAGTTAAGATAAACTCTCTGGACATATTTCCCCAGATTTTCAAAATGATGAGTGATTTGGGGCGCTTCTGTTTTTGTGTGTCCAACTTGAGCCATACTGAATATTTTCAAAAGTGCGTGGCACTTTCTGAAAAGTAGGCACCTTTAAAGTGTCTCAAGCTGGGCACTCAGAAACCCAAGCCACCCAAAACAACCAGGTTTTTTTTTTTCAAAATCTTTGACATGGTTTTAGCCATTGCTTGCCCAGTCCTGGCCTGAAGGAATTACTGGGTAAAATTCTGCACCCTCCATTATAATGGAAGTCAGACTACATGATCAGAATGGTCCCTTCTGGCCTTAAAATCTATGAATCCCCTAGCATTTTTCGGTGTGTATGTATGTACACACACACACACACACACACACACACACACACAAGATGAAGCTTCCCTGAAAGCCTAGTAACACTGAGTTAGAGTCCTAGTTTAGGGGTTTTTTGTTTTGTTTTGTTTTTACAATACAGAGGGATACTATAGTTTTAAAGAATGGCAGTTGTCCTTCTTGAATGGCAGTCGGCATCTCTAGATGTCTAGAAAGGCTAGAAACATTTTGTAGGTGAAAATAGCCACTTTTTCCACGGTGGAGAGTCCATAAAACTGCTCGAAGCATTGGCTATTGGGGCTCATTGAATAATTCATCCCTCATTGCAAGCCCATAATGTCTTTTCTCGGCCTTTTGTGGGGCTGTTTTCTCTTCTTTTCTCCTTGAATTATAAAAAGGTTGCCTTCTTTTGTTCACATCAAGCTGCTGCTAGCTGAAGCTTTGTCTGTGCAAAGCTAAAGTGTGAGTTTCAATGGACTCTCCCCTCTTTGTTTTCCAAGTTCATCTCCAAGTGTAGATTGTGTATAGAAGGCCTTCTTTGTAAAAGCTGGAAAAGTTGTACAAATGTTTGACCAGCTCATTTGGTACTTTTGTCTCCTCTTCTTCAGCGCCTATGCATGTGCAGGACAAGCTCTGGAGGAGGAGTGCTAGGACCTTCTAGCAACAAGTCCCACAGCACTGGCAACAGCCTCTCTATCTCCCTACCAAGCCCAGGCCTGGAAAACTAGGCACAACAACAACAACCTGCAGAGAGTTGTATCGTTTTCCTCTTTCTTGCTTAGGTTTTGATTTCATTGCATGTACTTCCCAGCACCTAACACAGGTTTTTCACAGGGCAATAATAAAAACCTAGGCTTGAAATAAATGCAAACCTCAAGCCACTGAACTGGGTTTCTATTTTTCTTCAGCTAAAATTGCTATTTATTTTTAGACTTCTTGTTTGGTTGGGTTTTATTTTGAAGAAGACTCTTTTCTTTCCTCCCAATGTTCTCCTAGTGCCTAACTTCCAATTCCAAGGAATCTGAACTATTTCAAATGATTCACAACAATAGTGGGCTAGAATTGGGAATTTTTCAGCAGTATGCAAAACTGCCCTAGAAGGAAATACTTTGCCTGAGATGGACTTGGAAATTACAGGAACTGTTGGTTTTATTATCGCAGGGTCCGATCCTGCCAGGTTTATTCAAGCAAAAACTTTCACTTGAAGCCAATAAGCCAGAACAAAGATGGCAGGATCGGGCCCCAAATCAAGAGACTCGTTCCTCCTTTAAAAAGTGATTTCAATTTGGATGATGAATGATGAAAGTCACAATAGCGGTTGGGTTGAAGAACTGGCAGGGGCTGGGTTTGACCTGCTGGCCACAAGATTGCACACCCCGAATATACTTTTCCTTTAACACCAAGCCCCCAGAACGAGCCACTTCGATCAGAGAAAACACCCGCCTCCAGTTCCCAGCCAGAGTACCTGGCCAAGCGTGAGACTGCTGAACGCCAGCGCTAACGGGGCTCGCGGGGCCTGAGATGCGATTTTAGTTCCTCACGGGGCACTCTGCACCGTGCAATTAGGTATATCAGTAATAATCTAGAGGGGGCCTGTCTCTGCGATCTCCTTCCAGGGATTGTTTAAAGTTTCCCTTGCTGTTGAAAATCCAAGCAAAGTAACCAACTCTCTCTCCCTGCCTCCGACTCCCTCTTGAATATTAAATACACCAATCCGTTAATTTAAAGCGGCCGTTAGATGAGATTTAAAATTGCGTGGGAATTTCCCTTTGGGCGTTAGAGAAATTGCGCTAATCAGGAATGGGTTTATGTGCGCCTATCTCTTGTGAGCCCTCCAATATGGTCCTTGCAAAGTCCGGGGACAGCGAATTCCATCGGGTCAGTGGAACGCAACTAAGGCCAGGGGCCATGTGCAGCTAGGACATGATGACTCCTATGGGAATCAGGTGGGGGGGAAAGTAATGAAAGGAAAAGCAACTCAGGTGGGGTCGGAGCTTTTCCTCCACAAGGGCATTGCCCGCTTTCATGGGGACCCTCAGCAGGCTCCGAGGGAGCAAAGGATGCCCGGAGAGAAGCGCCCCCGCCCTTTGATCTCGCTGCCATCTGCAGAAAGGTGCCAACAGCTCTCACGCCTAACGTCAGCTTTTACCACCACCACGAGAAGGCCTCATAAAACCCCTAGCTGGGCCCCGACCAGCCACTTCCGACACACTTTCTCCGAAGCCATCAGCCTCTAATGAGAGCGAGAGACCAACCCGGCCGGGACAACAAACAGGGCAGAGATAACCTACAAATCTGACCTCCCGGCGAACAAGGTTCCTAGGGTCAAGAGGGAAACAAAGAGCGCACGTGAACCCCGCTCCATTGGGCTGGGTTTAATAACACCTCAAGCAGGCACCTGCCTCCAGCGCTGCTGGACCAGTCCCCCTCCCCAGCAGCTAACGTGTGTGCGCCTCGCCCCACGTCCTTCCCTTACTGCCAAGGCGCAAAGCCCGATCCAGAAGCTGCAAACAAGATCCCCACTTCGCTCCGCGTCTGGGGGGAGCGATTGGCTTTACCTCGTTCGCTGAGGATCCCATCAATGCTATGCTTGGTCTTCTTGTCACTCTCTTCCGCTTCTTTCCTTTCCAGTTCGGCCTCCTCCTCTTCTCCTTTCCCAAATTTACTTCTCAGAATGCGGCTGATGGAGCTCACTTCAAGGAAAAACGAAGAGCTGTAAAGCAGCGGCGCTTTGCTGGCTTTAAAACAACCTCTCCCTCTCGGGACCTCGGCAGTGACTGTCCCTCTGCTGCACCCTCATCCCTATAGAACAGCTGTCCCAACACCAGCGCACATCCAGAGACGTGCTGGTTTGATCCTTGTCAATTCAGGCCACTACAGTGCATTGGTTTTTTACATCCCCCGGGTTAAATTCAGGGCCTTCACTGCCTGTGAGGTTAGTGTCTATAAATCCTTATATTCCCTACGAGGTTTTTTTAAGGGGCTGAACATATACTGCAAGATATTTTTGTTTTCTCCAAGCCAGTAAAGTCTGCTGACCAGAAAGCATTACAAGGGAAATTACAACAAAATGACCCAGAGAGCAAACTATTTAGGAGGCCTCAAACTGCAGGGTTTCGATTTCCACGCCGGAATACTTGTCTATTGTAACAAAAACAACCCAGAGGAGAAAAGAAAAGCAGCCGTGGTTCATTTATTTGTTTCCAGATTCCAATCTGCAAAACAAACCCATGCTCTGAACTATCTCCTTGGCACAAACCGGGAGAGGTGGGGGGAGGAGTGCAGTTGGTTTTTAATTAAAAACAAACTGCCCCACCCCAGTGCAGAAATCCTCCCCGGGATCCATATGTTTAACTTGTACCCGTGGTTCATGCCGATCGTTTTATGAAGTTAGGAAAGTGACTACCCCGGACTGCCTGTCGCCTCTTGCAAATAGTACAGCGGCAGCTACTAGGTTCTAGCTTTAGATTCCCTTTCACAAATGATGTTCATCACTGAACGAACGCTTTAGCTCATCCTCTGCCTGCAATAGACCCACAGGATATATATACTGCTTGCCCCACCGCCCACCCCAAACACGCGCTTTGCATAATAAGACCCCAGATCTCATACACCTAGGGGGGATAATGTACGTTTATTAAATATTTTATGGCTCTGGAAGACGACTCTGGATAAAGGTGGCCTCTCCAAATGGCCTCAATCAATAGAGTGTGAGTGGCTGTGCTGAGCCTGCTGAACGGAAGTAAGAATAGACCCCAGTACCTGAGGGAACCGTGTTTCGATCGCAGACCCCGTCTTTGAGCAGTTTGTCCCGGATCTCCCAGCTGAACATGCCGGCATTCTCCCTCTTGTATTCCTCGATTTTCTTCTCAACATCCGGCGTTGTCACCTGCTTTAATACAACAAACCAGGCGGACACCAAGTTTGTACAGTTTGGATTTAATGCAGAAGGGTCACAGCGAGACGCGAAGGTTAAATTCTGCCGCGTGAATCCGGAGTAATTCCTTTAACCTGACTGGAGTCGCTCCGGATTTACACCCCGTTATAATTCAGGGCACGATCTGGCCCCTTTGGATCAACGTCCTTCTGCTTTTCAAACTGACTTAGGACTGCGAGATACATACAACGAGCCCGATTCTGCAGTCCCCAGAACGGCAAAACTCCCTAGGAAGTCCATTGGGGTTGCATTAGCATGAGAATTGAAGGATCGGGCCCATAGTAATCAAAACCTAAAGTGATCTAGTAATAACGTTTGTGTATCTGTACAAAGGGTGGTGAGCACAGAAATGTCCACAGAGAAGATGAAAATCGCAGTAAAAGTACTGTCAGTGACAGTGTAACGATCGGGAAAAGAGATTAAACTGTGCTAAAGTATATCTCAAACTACAAGTACAGACCCAACCTCAGAAATTTAGCAACAACAGAAAATAAGTCTAACAACAACAATGTTGATTTTTCTAAATATCATAAACAGACACTGACAAACACTCTGAAATTTTGCTCGGATGTCCTAAAAAACGAAAATAACGTTGAATTAAAAACCCTGGAAATCAGAACTAGAAATAATTTTCCAGATAATATGCCTGTAGAATACATAAAGTAATTTATTCTAAAATTTGGTATAAAAGTTTAATAATCCCTGCTTTAAAGGAGCAGCAGAGGAGAAAGAAAGAAAGAAAGAAAGAAAGAAAGAAAGAAAGAAAGAAAG